AGTCTGCAGAACTCAGTGATGACTTGATGGTCAGTGCTACTGCCATGAAGATTCTCTGGACCTTTACATTCTGTTGTGTACAGTTCTACAGATGAGTGAGTTATCCAGAGTACCCCATAGTGCCATGAGTATTCAACTTGCATAATGCTTGCAAGATAAATGAAATAAATATCCAAATATTTTCATGGATGAATTACCATTATAACAGAAAATAATGTAAATCAGTATAAACTATGGCAAGCATGGAAAAGAGTGATAAACAAGAAACCAAGGGTTACTTCTGGTTTACTTGTCTATCTTGATGTTTTGTAAGTTCTTCAGATTTGCTTTGGTTGTTCTGTTGCAGGACAATTATTCTGCTGAGCTTTTTGCGAATGCTTTATATCTGCTAGGACATACATTTTAGCATCAATTGGAAATTTTTAATCAGTCTACTTTAAAAATTGTGTATAGTCCAATAAAATGATTTCCTGAGATCCGTATAGAAGTGCCATAAGATCTTCTCACCTGTCTTGCTGATAAACTTGTGTAGCGGCTTCTTTGTAATGCCTGTACCTTCGTTTTGATGTTACATGAAGAATTCTGAAAGCTGGGTTAGAAAACTGAGTAAAAACTGAATAAAAGTTTATTCTAAATCTCACAGGTTTTGGCTAGCTATTTCCAGTGCAGAGTCTGAAGCATTTAGAGCTGACATTTCTCTCCTTTTAATACTCTGATATTTGAATACTATGGGATCTGATATTTCTGCATTTGGAGGATCATTCTCTTCTAAACTCTCACCAGACTGAAGAGAGACCTGTTTACTGCCTTCCGTAGTCAATCCATCCTTCTATTATCAAGCTGCCTATATTTGGTTTCTGTGGCAAGGTTTTGGTCAGGGCAGGGGCGACAGGGGTGGTTTCTGTGCCAAGCTGCTAGAAGCTTCACCTGTGTCTAGCAGAGCTGAGGAGGGGGAGCAATCGAGCAACTTTGGCAAGCTTTTGGTGTCGAGGCAGGGTCAGCGCACCGCAGTCAGGACCCTTGCTGTCAGGAGCTGAAAGACAGCAGTGCCACCTCGGGTGATACCAACAACCAGTCGCCTCTTACACCAAAATATTCATCATCTCTGATGGCCACGGAACACATACTGTATGTCTTACAGACGTAAAGGAAGAGGGAGAACTAGCAGCATTTCACAGTAAGAAAGCAGCTTTTCTCAAGGGTATTATGAGGTGGACTTGGCAGCCGTGGTCTAGCACCGTCAACCACCCTGTGACTCCACATCAACCACATCTGCTGTTATGAAGGACAGCTGTACCTAGTTAGAGCCCTGGGAGGAATGTATGGATTAACAGGTTTTCTGGGGTCTGCCAGGCTTTTTTACCCAGTGCTGTGAGCCCTCAGAGCCATTCCATGCTGCTTCTGACCCCTACTCTAGCACATCTGGAAAAGATTCATAACTCATGTTTTATCTTAGCGAGTTTGTAATGTCAATTCTCCTGCCAGTCATTGCCATATTGTACAATATTTGTCTCCTGGATGTGGAGTGTGCACATGTTTTTGCACATCTGTAAGTTTTACAGCTGCTGCTTTATTGTGCGATACCTGGCAAGTTATGTTTTGATATTTGTGCATCTCTGTGCACATCTAGCATTCAGGATGAATGGTTGTGCAGTTTGGGTTTCTTTTTATTTTAAGAAATTTGCAAATACAGAGATCAGTGCAGTTATTTCACTTAAATGTTCATTTGGAGTTTAATGAAGCTTGTGGGTAATAGATACATATCTTTAATACTGTATGCAGCAATAATGCATCACCTACCAAAATTAAAAGTTTGAGGGGACTCTAAGTTTCAGGTGTTTCTCTCTGTAGCTTTTACAACTTCTCACTGACAAGTGTGACTGTACACTGCTCAGTTGTTCACTTCTGAGCACCTCATTTACACACTGAATGAGGGAGAAAGTTCCTATGGGAAGCACTAGGAACTGCATGAAAAAAATTAATAGTGCGAAATAATGCAGGAATTAGAAGGGACATGTGAAAATAAATGTGTAGAATTCCTGCCTAATTGTACAGGTGGCAGGAAGAGGGGGAGAAGGTGTTCTTGCTGTAAATAGAATTGCTGTTAAATTTCTGTTAAGTTTTCTCTTCTGCCAAGGTTTTATATACTGGAAAATACATGAGGAAAAATAAATTGGACTTTGGAAGTGCCAAAAAAAAAAAAAAAACATTTTAAAGAATGTGACTGTCATGTTTGTTGGCTACTGCCTATCAGTGTGAGTAGTGTTTGTGAAGTACTTTGCTATAAGGAAAAAAATGTGGTTATTCCATATGGACTAGCATATATATATGCTTAAACCCTTTCTATAAATACTTGAATTAAAGGACACCACATGTTGCACAGAAGCCGCTTTCTAAACTTCATGGTATATTCTTTCAAAACCCACAGGAAGTAGCTGAGGGAAAAAGTGTATTAATTAAGTTCAGAAATAGATTTTCCAGCTACAGAAAAATCTAAAAAACCCCAGCGTTTGATCTTCAGAAATGTGAGCCTGCTGCCCCAGGAATCTGGTGGCAGCATGGAGAGCCGTCACATGAGATTCAAAATTCAGATTTCATGTTCTCAGGAACAGTGGGTAGCCTCAAAGTAAACCAGTCTGTGGCCCTTGGAAATGGACTCGTCTTCTGACCCATCTCCTCTGGCCAGTGTTCAGAGTTCTGTAGACAGTCTACGAAGAAAACATTTTTACAGTTTTTCTTAACCTGAAGAAATAACATCATAGTAGCTGATCCTTCAGGAGAGTACAAGAACTCCCATATGCACTGTACTTTGAACCTCAGGTGTAAGCGGACACACCCAGAGAGTATTCTGTAACCTCCAGAACTATGGCAAAAGAAACACAAATGGGATTTGGTTTACATTGTTTGAGGAGCAAGTTTTACATTTTGCAAACCAATTAAATGTTTCTGTGTTTAGAAGTACTGGCTCTGCTGTAGCTGTCCTGTTGTGTCATGCTGTTTCCTTCAGACCAAAGCACAGAAAGCAACTCTCCTACACTAGTAGTTTAGCATGAAGTGTCCATCTTCTGTCTCTATACAATGAATGCCTAACTGTTTATACTAAGTGGTGTAACTCTGCTGGAAGAAAATGGTACATACATGCTAGAAAGATTCCCCACTGAGTGCTCTTACGTTAACCAAATTAGATACTTTAAACACGCGTTGCTGATGTATTAGGTAGTGTTTGTCAAATGATTTGACCCCAGCCAGCAGCTAAGCACCCAGCAGCTGCTCACTCACCCCACCCCTGCAAGATGGGGACGACATGAGAAGCACAGAAGTGAGAAAAACATGTGGCTTGAGATAAAGACAGTTCCTTAAGTGAGTACAAACAAAGGAGAATAAGGAATTTATTCAGTGCTTCCCAGCAGTGGGCACATGTTTAGCCACATCCCAGAAAGCAGGGCTTCATTTCACATAGCAGTTACTTGGGAAGACAAATGCCATAACCACAAACATTCTCCCATTCCTTTTCCTTTCCTTGAGCTTTTATTGCTGAGCACGATTTAACATGGAATGGAATATCCTTTTGGAATTAGCTGTCCCAGGTGTGTTTCCTTCCCAGTCTCTTGCCCACCCCTTGCCTGCTTGTTGGGAGGGCAGAGAGGGGAACAGAGGAGACTTTGATGCTGTGCAAGCACTGCTCAGCAGTAACTAATCCATTGATGCGCTACCAACGCTAAAATATTTTCATGGCAAATCCAAAGCACAGCACCATCTTGGCTGCTGTGAAGAGAGGTGACTCCATCCCAGGGCAGAGCCAATAGTCTCCACCCCTCACTGCCTGCCAGTTACAGATGTGGGACTTGGGCTCCATCTGTTGCAGAGGTCACTGAGGATAGGAGAGGCAGTATGTTGTGTTGAGTTGTTGGGCCCCAAAACCAGCTTAGGTTGGGTCATGGGGCACTTGCACTGTTTTATGAGGCTCATCTGCTGTTAGTTTGGGTAGATTGTGCTGTAGTATTTCCTGTAGCATATAACTCAAATCACAGGTAGCAAAAATGTCAACATATAATCATCACAGTACCACTAGGAGAAAGGGAGGTCCTCTCTCCCAAAGAATTCCACTGAAGGCTTTAAGAAATATTCCTTGTACATTTGTGTCTTATGAGACTGTTACATCTCCTTTCCCTCCCTTAAAAAAAAAAAAAAAAAGAAAAGAAAAGAAAGACAAAGCTATCTTCGGAAAAGTCTTGGGTACCTCTTAGTTTATTCTTCAAGCAGAGTGATGACAGGAACCTGAAAATGAGTTCGCTTTTCCATACGTTGTACCTGTGACCTCTGATATATAAAAGACTAAGTCAGAAATGGAAGCAATTCTCTTTCTCTCCTTTTTCTTCAAATTAAAGCATGAGGATCATATTTGTTCTTTGAATCAGGCTGCAGAGTTCCAGTATTCAACCACATCACATTCAAGGTTGTTTGTCTTTAAGATCAGGTTAGATCTTGCCTCTCAACCACGTTTAATGTATATTCCTTCAATACCTGCTATGTCATTTGCCTACTTTTACAGCATCCCTACTGTACTTTATGCAAGCTGCTGTATTCCTTCATGCAGAATGCCTTACCAGTATGATGTTCTTTATTCAGGGGGTTCACGAATCTTCTCTGCACATGTAATAAATAGGGAAGGTAAAATCAGCATGTTATCTCTGAAAGATGGATCTGGTATGCTTTTAAAATAAAAATCGTGTGATCCCTGTTCAGGACCTGAGAAATAACAGATTTACATGTCTATTATGTTTCTGTCAGGTTTTGGGCAGTAAGATTTTTCATCATTTAGCATTACAGTAAAAGAAGAAAAATAAGAGATGTTAAAATACTATAGTGTAATAAACCTTTCCTCTTGTTCAGTTAATAATCCAGAGTCATAGTAGTATGCATTGTAGAAAAAATGGTACAGATCTGTATAAATATTTGCCATTCTGTTGACTTCATGCCTTTGAATTTATTTTGTGTAGCCAAATTGTACTGCAACTGAGCGAGCCATTGCAAGACTTGCAACACACCCCACCTTGAAACCCAGATTTGTTGAACTTAAAGGTATGAAATGTTATATTAACTGGTTTATGACTTCAGTAGCCTACTGGTACGTTACCTTGTTCCTGACCTGAATAACCTGTATAAAAAGTAAAAAACTGAAAAGGTCCTGTAATTACCTTAATTAGCTGCAATTGTATCTGAGCGATTTACTGTTATTTTGCAGTTTTTACACATAAAGTAGTGCCCTGATTGAACGTGACTTTCAGCTGCAGATTATTTGCTGAAAAAGAAGTTCTCAGATTAACCCAAGTTTAACAACATATTCAGTTGGTAATAATTTAAGTTCTTTTCTTCACTTGTGTATGTGAAGGTACTTCTTGTCTCCTGTGTTCAGTATATGATTGATGAGGACATTTGAAATATATTTACTCATACTTAAAACATATTTAACTTGCAAAAATGGTTTATTATATTAAAGTAAGTAAAAAGTGTAGCTGCAACAAAAGATTTTTCTTCTGCCTCTTGTATAGCTGCTGTCAAAGCTTTTCAGGATGCAAGAAAGAACCCATCCAAAGCCACTCCTTCAAAAAATGCTAAATCAGAAGAACACCCTAAATCAGCGCAAAGTTTCAATAATAATTCGGATGAGCAAGCTCTTAAGCTACCTCAAAACCAGCAAAGATGTGCACGCAAACAAAAAACGAGTATGAAAATAGTAACTGACAGGGTGGCTGAAGAACTTTGTGAGAGTGAATCTGAGCAGAAAACTGTGGAAATGGAGAGAGCATGTGCTCCAGAGGAGTCTTCATTTCAGGCAGTAGAAGTGCAAGCAGTTACTCAAAATAAAACAGGAAAGAAACTTGGCTATCAAAAAAGGCAAAAAAATACAAGTATGAACAAATTAAATGCAACAAAAGAAAGAAAGAATGATAATCAGAAGAATCCTAATGAAGAGGAGTACTTTGATGATAGTACTGAAGAGAGGTTTTATAACCAGTCATCAGATTCTGACAGTGACAGCAGTGATGATTTCTTCATTGGCAAAGTAAAAAGAAAGAGAAAGACAGAAGCAGTTACTGATCCTTCTACAGCCAAAGAGAAGGATAGGCTTCAAAAAAACATGCTGAAGAAAGAAAAGAGCACAGTGCCTGGGACAGTGCAAGGTTTGATAATGGAAGAAGGAAAGCCACATGCAAAAGCAGACAAGCTAGAAACAATGTTCTGCAGCTCTCTGTCTGCATCTATTCAGAAATCTCAAAACAGAAGGTAAACCTTTTATCCTTGTTACGTTCTCCATTCCCTCCCATCTTTCCAGTAATGGGGATTGTAGCCCTTACCAAACAAGGAAATTTCAGCCAGTTACAGCTTAGAGTGTTTTCACATAAACTGCCCTGCAGTCTTCTTGTGCTTTCTTGACACTTGTGTATTTTTCATAATCACGTTAGCAATGTCATACATGGGATTCCTAACTTGGCTTGCGTCCAAGTATTCTGCTGAATTCTGCTGGGTTTACTTCTTTATTAACAAAAGGGAAACGACTTGTTATGCTTTATTCATAAGTGTTTGTCATCTTACAAATTTCATTAATAATCCTAAATTATCTTTTATTTTTAGAAATACTAAAGACAAGCCTCTCAGAAATGGAAGAACAGGTATGTATTATTTAACTGGATGAAGTTATAAGAGTAAAAACATCTTGAGATTTTTTTGCCTCTGCAGTCTAATCAGGATAGGCTGTTGTTTTACAGCATAATATGTGGCACATATTTTAACATTTGCTGTTAAAATGGTCAAGTTGTTGAGCTTCCATTTTAACATGTGGATATTGTTTGCTATTTCCTGATTCTGAATGTTAGAAATACTTAAAGTAAGGTTTGCATAGGAAAGTGCTTTTCCATCTGTCTTTGTTTTGAGCAGTTAGTGTTACTTTTGCACAGGTAAAGCCATGGGATAATGATATACCAGAAATGGTTTATCCCATGAGTAACTCCTTCAGTTACTTCTTCAATATTTTATTTCAGTCATAGTACATGGTATTATTTTGGAATTCCTTGAATCAAGGATATCATTTCAGTTAATGTTGAGTTACATTGTATAATATCTCATTGGTTTATTGTGAACAAAAGAGTTGAGACTCTGCTGAATATTTGTCTACACAGATTTTTAATGTGGTCAGTAATAATCTTAACCATCTGCAGTCTATGACGTGATAATTTACTGGGCTCCAAGATGAGGAAATCTTGCTGTGAATATTCCAATGAATGTGTTCCCCATAGCGCATTAAGAAATTCTTGAAAATGTCTGCAATCCCAAGGTAGTTTAACATGTTGTTATGAAGGTTCACGGTGTAGTTAATGTTTTATTTTGCACTTCTTGCACAGCTCTTATTAAAAAGGAACCACAGCTCAAGAAGCAACAGTTTGCAAAAGCTGCAGGTATTAAATTCGACAATAAGAAAGCACGTTTGGAGCAGCCTCTTCATCCGTCATGGGAAGCAAGCAGGAGACGCCGGGAGCAAATGTCTCAAATTACAGTATTCCAAGGGAAAAAGATTAAATTTGATGACTAGATTATATGTAAATTCAGATTTAAAAGCAAGATTCTTGCAGATTTGTATCCCGTGGCATTTTTTTATGAACTAATACCTACTGTTTGAACATTTTTGTTACACAGTCCTTATCCTTTGCAACCTATAAAAAGCTAAAACCTGACATCTGTTTATAAAGAAGATCGAAGAAGATTGTGTCATTTATTCACTATGCTGTCTCTCATTAATGTACGATCATACAGTGTTGGTTCATAACTCCCATTATGTAGTGCCACCATTTATGATATATAGTCTAGTGTGAATGATTGTTTTTTAGGAATATCATTTGTGCCCTGTCGGAATAGAATAGATTCTTTAGAGCTTTTTTGTTTTTCTGTAAAAACGTACTTTATATGGGGATTTCGATGTCAGTAGAGACGGGGAAATACAAAATACTGAAGTGATAATCCTAGGACTATATTATCAAATGCATCTCAACTGAAAAAAAGTAAGAGATTCTTAAACTTGAACAGACTTAACAAAATCATGAGTGTATCAGGTAGCTGGGACAAAAAAAAAAAAAAAAGATCAGTAGTATGCATGATGTGAAAATTTCTGCAAAGCAATAAAATTATGTGATCTTCATCTGTGCTCTCTGTCCTTTGATTATACTGTGGACTTCAAGAATCGAAA